TCTTCATTTTAACTTAGCAACACAATAATAATATTAAAATAGCGACCAACACGTCTACAATTACAAAAAACAATACCACTCTAGCTATCAAAAAGTTTGATTAAATTCGTACTATTTAAAAAACCTTAAGATTTAGGTATTATAAACCTTATTAAAACAGACACTTATTTTGTTCAGCGAATCCAAACATGCAATAATATACAGGACATTCCATTCAAAAAAACGCAACTTTGATACCTTTAGAGCCTTTAGGACACCCTGTACATTACAAAAATTATTTTAAAATGTGCGCTCGGTAGACGTCGGACAATTCATAAAATAATACTTAAATATAAGTAAAACCGTAAAAATCAAACGGTTTAGCCGCAAACTTCCGTGCCGTATAGCGTGAATAACCCTGTAGAGCTTGCTTGTTTTGCCTTTGTCTTCGGGAAACCTATCTCCAGTTTTCGCTTCTTACACAAGCCGTTTATCAATAAACATTCCGGTTTTTTTAGAGTAGGAAATAACTTCTTTATCGAAACAAGAGCAGTTCATTAAGTTGTCTTGGAGATTTCGTATAGGCAGTAGTAAGAAAACAGAAACGCCTTTTAGCTACGAAGCTTTCCGCCCGCAATTTATTTTTGCTTTCATCAGCGCATTTAATTAAATTTCAATATAATTTGAGCTATAATAATTACAAGTTGAGCTGTGGAGCCATGGGAACGTATTAAACACAAAACCCCACCAACAGGGACTTACTGCCTATTGTTTGGTTTTGGTGATCTGTGAACCCTTTACAACCTTCGAAAATCGATTACATTACAAAATCATACATTCTCTTAATTATAACAATTTAACTGACACACATTATTTATTTTAAATAATTTCGTCGCTATTTGCAAGGTAAGCGGTTTCAAACTTCTCCAATTTGCTTTTTTGTAAATGAGTCTAACACCCTCAAACCGTTGAAATTCATTATGTGACATGATTCAATGCAGTGCTGTGCTAATGCACTACTTTTGTACCAGTTGATAATCGCTTTTATGTTGTATGATTTTGTTGTTCAATATGTTACCGGTCTTTCCTATGTAAATTTAATCGCAATCTCGACAGGGTATTTTACATACTACTCCTAAGCGTATGAGTATATCGTCCCTTTCTTTTCAACAACTGTTAAAGTTACATACATACATCAGATTTTGCAATGCTCACCTCAAAAGGGTTGTGTTTTTCAAAATTTCGATAATGTTGCTGGCTCCTGATTTTGGGCATTGTTAACGGACTTTTCCAAATTTATATTGGTAACTAAAATTGCATTGGCAGCTAAAAAGCGATTCCATTTTCTTACTACTGTGCAGTTGCTTTCAATATCATCAATATTTTTCCAATAAAGAAGGACTGGCTCTTTTTACTTTTTAAGTATTTACCTTTCACTTTATGAACCACTGGACATCCGTCATCAGGATAGACGTTCTTTCAATCATGGCGATGTCGCTAGTGAAATGTGATGAACATGAAGAAGGAAACTGCTCCATGCGATCTTGCGTTCATGTTTGATTGGTATTAAGTGACGACCTTGATTCTTAAGAAACTGTCGAATATCGAAAAAATAAAAAAGTATTTATTAAACTCCCTCCAAGCTAGAAATAATATAATATCTTCTCTGATCACGTTCTCATACAGCCAGCAACTTTCGTCCCCCAAACCAAATAAACACGGAATACTTTGTCGTAGTGAACGTGTTTCTAAACAGTTTCCTCACAAAAGATTTAGAAACCTAATCAAGCCCGCGCGTGTATTTCCGCGTTATAAACCAACATTGTTTAGTACTGCCAGAGGTCAGACTGAGGCAGAAAGCCATTCCATACACAGTAGATGTTTCGATATCAAAGACTTCGACAAAAGCTTACACGAGTCCTTTATATGGAAACTGCCAAACTTTCTGAACTTGGCTTCTTTTTTATAAAACTTATTGTTTATTCGATAATTTGAACCACACATTATTAAACGAGACCAAATCCTCGACTTGCGAATTGATCTTTGCCCAAGTCAATTTAATCTGTACACAGCTGTTTCGCAAAACGCATAACACCACTATTCCTGTACTCGAATCGCACAATTTATCCCTCACTCTATGCATCACTGGCTAGCAGCATTTTTTGATCAGGTCATCGGAGACTATAAATCAACGTTCAAACTGTCATCAGCAATCAGAACGAACCAAACCAATCTTATTTTCAGAAAATATTTGCCTATATAAATACTAGGCTGGTTATAATTTTCAACTATCGAATTTTTAGGGTCTTACCCCCAACAATGTTTCCAACTTGATAATCCGTTAAAAACCTTAGCCCTGTAGGACAATTTTAGGTGCCACAAACGGGTTAATGTTTAGGTTTTTTTAGGAAGTCATACACTTTTTTATTATATTCAACAAGTCCTTTAATTATTCTTCCTATTTTAAAATACTTCTCTACTGAAAAATTAAATAGTGATTTTATTACAGAAACATAAGTAAAAAACATATATTCTTACAATCTGGATAAGTTTGACGAAAATCATTCAAAACTTAAACAACTAAAAAAAACTGCTTTTGACTTTCATAGTTTTCTAAAATATTATTATTCTCTTGTATTAACTTTATTCCCCTTTCTGTCGACATCATTAAAAACTAATAAGCTTTTAAGAATATTGAACGCTTTTTGATAATCTTCTGGGATTTCCCCCAGGTGTCAAGGGAGGTATTTAATAAATCAGTTGATGTATGAAATCTCCTGAAAAGGTTCAATGTTACTTTAGTGGCCTCTACCATTTTCAGTTTTCAAGAAATACAGGATTGCCAGGAGAGAGATACCTCAAGTGTCCTCCGAATTTATTCATTGCTACTGGAGAAGCAATGTAGTTTTGGTGTCAATATTTGATATAATCCTGTATGTTTTTGGATCTGAACAACTAGGTTGACGTGCTTGTTGATAGTATGATGTGTTGGATACGGATGAATAACATAATACTTTTATTTCCTTTAGTCCTTTAACTTTAACTTATTTTTTTCACAAGTTTGCTATATAATGACAGAAACTTAATAAAAGAAAATATATATTTTAAACCTTTGAATTAAACAGTGGAGCCGATAGGGAAACAAAACTTTCAAAACAAACTAAATTTAAACAAATGTTTCCTGTTATTTTTGGCAATGTTGTACAATTTTTCCAGCACTTCACTGACATCGTGCAAACTTATACTGAATTATTAAGTGCACAGGTCCATTCTTACGCTTCTTCACTATTTTCGTCACGTACCCCGTTGTAGACTTCTGGCCGCTTCTGTTAAGCTGAAAAATAATTTCTTAATATAATTGTATTGAGGGCTTTCCTTAAAGAACAACTTGGAAGGGAAATGCTTTCTTCTACCTGTAATTTACTGAAATAGCATTTATATCTATTACGATAAACATAAACAAGGGCAAAAACATTTTCAAGCTGAACAAGTTCAACCAATTCTCCTTGATTTTTGCGGAATAGCCGAGCAAACAGGAAAGCCTCTTTCAAAATTATTATTTTATCTGCAGTCGACCAGTTAAAATGTGATTTTAAAAACTTTCGGGATTTTAAAAATTACACTGCGGATTCACTGAAATTAATCGTGAAGTTACAGACGAGGATATCTTTGCCCAGTTGTAGGGTGAAATATAAGTTATTCATAAAATCGTAACTTTAAAACACGATTAATTTGTTTCATTTTAATTAATTTTGGGCTACGGGGTTTCGTGTTTCAGTTCAGATGAGAACTGTGTAAATGCCCATTAATTGAAAATCAAACAACAAAATATCATCTGAAGATTTATTCAAGTTTCACCTTTTTTTATGGGTACAATTTTTGTATAATATTGATCTTGCGATTTGGGGTTGCGCTGCATCCAATTTTGATGCAATCATTGCGACTAATGAAGCGTTGCTTAAATGGTAATAGCTCATATCATGTCGCGATCTGATATCCACGCAAGATAAATTGGTCCAAAATAAGGCTAGGGTTTGCATAATAAGCAAATTTTTGATGAACTGCTTGACATTTTCACATTCTAGACATTTATGGTTTAATGGTATTAATGTTCCCCATAGCAGGGTTCAAAAGATTGAAGAAGTTGCGATTTTTTCGTGACTGTAATAGTGCTTCAATTGAAACGTAACATTATCTATTGCACCTGTATAACCAAAATTTTTGTATGACTTTAGTTTTATTTTGGAGATACCAGAAAATATATCGAATGCTTCAAAGAGTCACAACYTCTTAAATGTGTTAAATGCCCTTTGCATCTTGCTCCCAAATTGGCCCAGCGAAAGATACAGTTTCATTCCAACGTACTGGAACTCGTTCACTAGAACTGAAGTCATTTGTGCGAATTCCGACGAACCATTGCGATGTGCCAACTATCCGAAACCCATGGGATTTGTTCGCAAGTTCGCAGTGTTTCTGACTGAATAGGGAATATCTTGTATCATTTTTTGTAGCACACCGAGCTTAAACGGATGTTGAACTAATAAGTCTTTCTGCTTCCTTTTTGAATCTTCATATAAATGATGGCATTCTCCAAATTCGTTTCGTGTTACTAATGTATCAGCAAACGCAATTGTTTTTTTCTATTTACTGTAATGGTCTTCTCACAAGATAACTATTTTCCAACAGAACATCATTCAATATTATTAACAGTTGTATAATTACTCTGATTATTATATAATTACCCTGTGTAGAGGTGCTTATTTGATACATAACAAGACATTACGATTTCGTACCATAAAAAGATCTCCAGTGGACGGTACCAACATGTCCGAAAACGGACGAAATCATTCCAAAGGACGTCCAGTCTAAGATTTCATTTTACTTACAATGGTTCGTGCAAGTTAGTACGAATGATTGCGGATCTAGTAGAGGAGTTACTATACTTTGCAATGAAATTGGATCATTAGCTTCTTTTCGCACGATTTCTGACGAAAGCAGTTCCGACAAAAACGCTCCCAAGGGCACCGGCTCATGGACTACACGCTCTTATATTCACACAAACGGACCATAGGGTACACACTCCTATCAGACGATCGGCCTAGGGGAACCAGATGGAACTCTCGGGCAGCTGTGTGCGTGCGCGAGAAAACTGCCTAGCTGCTTGTCTTTATCGCTTCCAGACATAACGACCTCATTACGGATTCCAATCCATTCACACCGTGCCATAAGAAATTTTCACTTCAAAAAATTGTTTCAAAAGATTTCTTAATTCCTAAATGTCGATTAAATTTTCCAGGTTATCCGCATTCAATTAGAATGTTGTTGGATTAGGTGTCAAACTACTGTTTTTTGGTTAGGGTTAAATTGCCATTGAGATTGATTCGAGAAATTACAATTGTGGTTGTTTTAATAAGCTACTGGGTTATTATCGTACAAATATTATTGAAAATAGTTTCTCTTTCCTGCACATGTCACCAACCATCCCATGAAAGAAACAATAAGCCCTTTACCCATATGACACAATTATGGAAAGTTTAACCACGTTAAAATTATGTACAGGACAGACTTTTGCTCTATTGAAATCTTCTGGGAATTCCGATCTTGGAAAGCTATATATCGTATATTTGTTAATGTTTCAAAATCAGCATTTAAAAACATTTCTGTAGTACATATGTATTTAATTTCTTAAGAAAATGGGCGTTGTGTTTACAGTAGCAGTCAGTTTTTTTTCATGAAATATCTTCCAGTAATAATTGTAATATGCCCATTAGTCAGACCCCAAAAACTTTGACTTTCGAGGCCATTCCTTGAAACTAGTGGGGTTTTCGGGTTTTTAGGTCGTCGTATTGTAGTTTTTCCTTATTTTTTTTAACCAAAATATTCAAAAGTGGTCTTTATGTAATATGTGGGTCAGTTCTAAACATACCAGTATGTAAAATGTAACAACAGGAACTTTAAGGTAATTCTAACGGTATTAATTATGCGTAGGATGTAAAGCTCAGGTACATTGTATACGCATAATTAGTTTAAATTATTCTGGTCTAAGTATAACTAATCATATTTTTCATATGTATAATCGAAATAGATTATATGCATAGTTCACCTTGCTTTTCCCATTATTTCAATTAACACATCCTGCATACCCTAGTTGCATATAAGAGTGTCCCAATTTGTTTTTCAAAGGCCAACTACATATACAGGGTGTCTAGCAAAAGAAGGTGGTAAATTTCAAAGACGACGTTACGAATGTTTGAAGAACTAGATATGGTAATATTAAAAATTTAAAAATTCGTTTATTACTTAAGTTACACACATGCCAAAGGTGCCACCAAAATTGTACATCCGTTTTCTTGTTCATGTGACAGTTCAGTCTGCTTAATATTTCCGTTTTTGTAATAATTATTAAACTTCGCTGTTATGTGAAATTCGACAGCCATTTATTTTTCATTTGTAATATAGCGTCACCAAATGTTAATACAAAGTTGTAAAATATTTGTATTTGTTTTATAATCGACAGAATTTCAGCATTGCCTATTACCATTTTTTATGGACATTTCGACTGAGACAGTTTAATTTAGTATTTACCTAAATGCTTAACTATATGTCATACATAAAGTCATAAAGTAACGATATTTATTCTGGTTTTATTTATTTTAAATTTTGTATGTAATTGAAATAAATATTGTGTATTCAGCTGACCTGAGATTTGATTATTTCTAGGATGCTTTGTTAATAATTCAGATTAAATTAAAATTCCGAGCGAGTCTTTCTGGATGTTGCCGTAACTAAACGAAGGATAAAAATGAAGCCAAACGAAAAGATAAAAACCTTGAAAATTGTAAGCAATTACGGGATCTTATAGTGACGCTTAATAACTGATACTCAAGAGTAACGAAAAGGAACTTTATTAATCAACATAGGACGTCTGCTAACAATTAGTTTCAAGTTTATTGACAATTTTACTATTTTTTGCATGCGATATTTACGATAATACTAAAAAAACTGGTTGAAGCTTGAAAATTGTCACACATCCAAGAATTATAAACTTCTATCTAATGAAGATTTCAAGTCTAGAAACGGCCCATCCGCAAATTTTTAACAATGGGGAATTGACACTTGCCCTTTTGCTTATACTCCAGTCCTTATTGAATAAAAACACAAACCTCTGACAATACCAACACATAAAAGCTGTGCTTTAATAGAAAGTTCAAAACGTTTGTTAGTAGCAGAAAAAATAATTTCATATTTTGTTTTACTCACTGAAATTTTGAATTGCGGACACATTTCGACCATTTTTGCTTGACACTCTTGGTACCCAAACAACAAAGAATTGCACAGATGCTTATTTGAAATAAAGTTTACGTTACAGATTTGGGCACGCCTTTCTTCCCTGGCGGTCCTGAGCTGTGGCATCATCCGCTTGCATATTCAGCCGCAGCTGCTGCAGCGGCAGCGGCAGAACTACCGGGAGCTGCGGCACTTCAACATGCCACCTTAGTGCATCCCGCACTGCACCCCCAGGTGCCAGTAAGATCCTATCTTTGACTATCTTCGGACAAAAGTCCGATGGATGCGGGAGCTCCAGTCCACCACCACGTAAGTTCATGATATTGTTAACATACTTTCATTTTTAACTTAATTATTGGCGCTCATAGTCCATGGCGTAAATTAATTATTTTCTGATATATTTTACGTGCGAATGATTTACATTCTGAATGTAGAAATCAGAACAAGAAAATCTCAGAACTTTGGGACATACAAATATAGAAAACTTCAATTTGTTGACTGAATTTGAAAACTGTATACAGAGTGAGTTTTTTTCGATGACTAGTACAGGGATCTTCGGAACTAGAGCTTCATTTTGAATGCTCTACTCGAAACCAATTTTATTTTCCTAAAATTTGACAGCTGTCAAGAGATATTTGGGAAACACTTATTTATGACAAATTTTTAAATTACTCTTAGTTCCGTTGATATTAATTTGACAGGAAAACATTAAATAGAAAACTTGTAGGAAATTGAATGTCGATCAAAATAGCATGAAACATTTCTCAAAAATAACTGTCATTTTTGACATATGCCACAAATTTGCGTTTTTTTTAAATGCAACCATACTGAATTATTGTTTCGCCGAATAGAGCATTTTATTACGATTTTTGTGATTATCACATCATTAGGTTTTTTTCGAAAATAATGGGTCTGCAAACAATTTATACGTTTTCAATTTAGTTCATCGAAGTTAGTCATGGAAAATAGTATAAGACATACAGCATTGTTTCCATAGTAACAAATAATAATGGTATGATTCAGTACTTATTTTCACAACTACGTTAAAGTTCGCAATTACTTTATTTTAGTTAAGACGGCTGCTCATTTAAAGTGTTTATGGTAAAAATCAAATCATACCAATAATAATTAAAATTTTACTCTAGAAACTTTAATTTTATTGTAAAAAGTTTCAAAAAGTAAACCATTATTATCATTGCAAACATTGCAACGCTTTAAAACTGAATAAGTTGCTTTCCTTGCGGACCGACTATCAATATTTTCAAATGCTCTAACAGCGCCTTTAAGTGCGTTTAAATTGTAATATTTGTTATTGTAAGCTATGTTTTTTACGGCTCCCCACAAAAAGAAATTCAAAGATGAAAGATCCGATGATCGAGGTGGCCATAAATAAGGCCCGTTTCGTCTAATCCAAGCGCCAGAAAATGTTACGTGCGTAAAACTTCTATAAGTTCCTAAATAGTCGAATTATACTACATATTTTCCATGACCCACTTTGATCAACTAAACTGATAATGTATAAATTGTAAGCAGACAGTTTATTTTCGAAAAAATCGTAACGATGTGATATATCACAGAAATCGTAATAAAATGCTCTATTGAGTAAAGAAATAATCAAGTATCGTTGCCATTTAAAAAAACTCAAATTTATGTCATATGATAATAATTACAGTTATTTTGGAGAAACGTATTGTTGCGGGTTGATTTTTAGAGCACAGCGGCAACGCAGCTTACAGCGTTTTCGGGACGCCTAGCTCGATACTTCGAGAACGAACGGCAATAGTTGATTGGGCTATGGAAATCCCGAAAAATGGAGAATCTTCGTAGGTCGTCGAGAGCCCTTGCGCGCTAATATAAATACGGCAAGGGACCGAAGTAAGTTAGTTAATCAAACAGCTATACAGTGAAATATTTAAAGCGATATACACAGTGTGTTCGATTCGCGAGCTACAGTTTTGAGTTAGTGATTGTTATAGTTAGTATTTGGGAGTTCAATAAATTGTTGTGTTTTTATTTGTTTACTGGAATCATTCGAACCCCGGAAAAACGTAACAGTATTATGCCATTTTGTTTGGAAGTAAATTTCCTACAAGTTTTATATTTAATGTTTTCAATTATCAAATATCTATCAAATTAATATCAACGGAACTAGAAGGGATTAAAAAATTTACCATAAATAAGTTTTTTTCAAATATCTCTTGGCAGCTGTCAAATTTTAGAGAAACAAAATTGAGTTCGAGTAGAGCATTCAAAACTATATTTCTTTGTTTCATTTAACTTTTTCCGTAACTGCTATAGTTTCGAAGATCCCTGTATTGATCATCGAAAAAAAAACTCGTATAAAATGTATAAAATTATTAGTTATTTCAAGTTTGCAATTTTTTATCTTATTTTAGAATTCATAAACGCTACTTAACCTTTGAACGATTTCAAGTTTGAAAGGTAATGTGTGAAATATTGTTAATTTGTTGACGGTGCAACGGGCCTCTTTGATAATGAATATTTTCGACACACGTGAACTGCGAATAACAATATTAAACGTATTGAAAAAATATGTAGGCAATTGTATAACGATTAAAGACATCGGACCGCCAGCGTAATAAAATAATATGAAATATCGATTCAATCCTGTTAGGGCAACATACTGGAAAAATATTTATTGATAAAATAATAATTAACTTGGAAGATAAACAGAAAAATCAAAATTACCAAACATTTAATCTTATTTTAACTTTATTACTGAAAAGGGGTAATACAAAAAATGTAAAAAGCAAACAAATGTTAACTTTAAATGTTAAATTTGCATGAATTACTCCTGCGATCGAAATAGAACGGTTGATAAATCGTGACGAGTACGGATAGACTGAAAAGCGGGGATATCGGTTTTTAAAATGCGATTGCTCCAATTTTGATTTCACATTCGATTTGCTTACCATTATTGATGGGGTAATTTTTCAAAGAGAAAGACAATAAAATTATTGTTATTAGCATTGACATGCAAAGTTTCTTTTATGTAATCTGGTGCATGCAGTGGTTATACAGGTTGGCCCTGAGAGACTCGAAAAAAATATTTTCCGAAATTGTTCAGGTTTAGACAATACGATCTAGCCCAACTTATCTTAGTCCACCAGTGGATGATTTCTGAGATACATACTGTGAAACGTTGAATTTTGCGAGGTTGTTAGAGGAAATAAATTTGAAGAAATATCCGACGTATTCAACTTAGGAAAGTAATACTTGCATTTTGTGATTGTGTAACATATGAACAAGTAAAAGTAAGTATTTTTTTAATAACCGGTGTATTGCCACAATGTTTTTTGGGATGCACGTTCATGAAGTACATTGTTCGTTGCAGATCCAAATACAGAAGATCTATGTTGCTTTAAACATGGTTTTCAGTGAATAACCGCTAATCTCAAATATGTTTGAATGAATCAGTCCAGTGTGTCCACACCAGTTCTTATCATTTTTCAAATCTGCTTGTTTTCAGTGCCTCAAAAAGTAAACTGTCTAAGTTGTGACACGATGGTCTTTGATCTTCTACGTAAAAAAGCTACCAAAAATTGTATGCGACGAATTTCCAGCGGGCTTGCTTCAGTCCACACTTGATATTTTGGTACAACGAGAGCGCGTTGTGGTCGCTTTGCGGATTGTCGGAACGCAGCCTGTTAAATCTGGTAATTAATTTTGCCGGAGTTCTAAAGCATTTTCACCATATAGCTGGGTGGTAAAATGACAGGACCAATTATCAAAATATTTATGAGATCTGCATACACCATGATCTTAAACTCTGATAATTAGTTAGCTTCTATCGCAGGAAGATTTTGTTCAACATAGACATGTCCATTTTGAACGTTAGTTAGTCCACAACGCGCGAAGTAAAATTATTTGTGTTAAATCTGTGGAAAAATGTGCTCTTGAATAGACCGGCCCCAAGCTAGTTCTGGTTCCAAGTCACTCTATTTGCAGTATTTTTGCTTATTGTTAGCTCTCAGCTCAACAAGGTGCTGTTGAGTTCAAAGATGTTCATTGAACCGAATAAAAATATCATATTCAGTTCTTGCAGTTCTTATCTTACGTTTACGACCATAACTAACAGAAACGCTGTAAGAACTTACACCGAGAAAGGGCTAGAGACGCTTGGCTGTTGGCTCCAGGAAGAGTTCCAGACACAGGAACCGGTTTTGGATATAATTCAGCAGAGCCTTTCAAGGATACTCAGAGCATTACGCAATCGTACCAGTTTTATGAAGGCTTCTTTGTATGAGTTTTTTAAAACCACTTCAAATGATTAACGGTTTGGTTAGCGATAAATCAAAAATCTTTCTCTATTTTCTCAGCAAGATTCTGAATCATTTCCATTTCTATTAACCATGGAATTATACAGAAATTGACAAGGATAAACGGTAGGATCAATAGTATTGGTTAAATGTGAGAACGTACTTTTTCGAAATGTCAATATTAATAACATAACATCATGACATGATGATCATGTCATCAATGTCAATAACGCGAAATTGTYCTTTATTGTCATTATAACCTCGAATTGATGTGTTTACAAATAAACTTACATTTCTATCTRTAACTCCAAACAAGTTTGTCCCTATGTAATCACCTTATTGAGAATCTTCTCGAGCAACTTCTCGTATTCGGTTAGTTAACTCCGGCTCAATTTGTAGCGGTGCTCAGTAAACCATTGGTTTAAGGGGTCCTTCCGTTCTGTGTATTTTACATACGTGGCAGGAATGTATCCCATCTCCTATGAAACGCTCTGAGTATCCTTAAAAGGCTCTGCTGCATTATATCCAATACCGATTCCTCTGTGTCTGGAGCTCTTCCTGGAGCCAATCGTCCAGTGTCTCGAGTCCTGTCCTGGCGTAAGTTCTTACGGGGTTTGCTATGTTAATGTTTTCATAACTTAATAATGTTTAGTATTTGCTCATAACTAATAGCATATCCACATGATTTTTGAATATAAAAAATGGTGGTAATTTGAAGCAATGATCACAATTTTTCTTTTCGAATGCTTAATTATTCCAATAGGCTACCAATCAATGATGGGACCTTTTCATAATAATGCTTAATAACAAAGTTGAAACTAGATTTTCAACTGCTGTCAATATGCTTTTAAAAATATTTTTATCGTTTTCTCGTACTCTCCTTTTCTTATACTTAAGTATTGTATTTACACAATGGTTAAAGATATCGAACTTCTTGTTTCAACAAGCCACAAAGAGACTTTATGGCCTTTTTATTTTATGACTACTAGAATTTTGACTTTTTAAAAATAGCAGACGTTTCGACCTTTA